TACGCACTACGGGACTTTGAAATGCGCTCCGTGAAACATTTTTTTAGATCAATTGCGCACATTTTGTTTAAAACGTTCAGTTTTATTGGCTCAAACGTGACGCTCCGTCATCACAAGCTCGATAAACTCTTGCAGCAATGCGACGATAGCCTGCCGAAATAGCTCGTTATTCTGTCCGCAGACATTTTTTTTAAAAATCTGTCAGACTGCAATACAGCGTAGACTAAAGTTGGTGTTGTCTGAGTTTATATGGGAGTGGGTGGGGGAGGGACACGCTATGGGTCAACCCTGCCATCTACGTTAATCTGCGCATTTCACCCACTTTTTATCCGAGTGGAAAAGCGTGGACAGACGCGAATCTATGGGACGAATTTGCTCTCACTTTTCTACAATCCGCATGAAGGCGCCACGGGTGTACTCGGTGGAACTCTAGCACCTTCTCGAGAACACCTCCAGGTGATTCCTCATATCCGTACAAAACCTCGGACAACAGCACGATGTTGCCGCTCCATGTCCTCGTAAGTACGCATGTTGAACTTCTTTTGCACCGTGCGTAGCCAACCGTGATAATCAGAGGAGCGGAGGGGGGGGGGGGCAACACACTAAACGAAAAAAACAACTCGAAAGAAGTGAGTTTTCAATCTAGATGATGATTTTAAAGTGCATAGCTCCGGTGGCTTCCTAATATCAGAAGGTAGGAGCGTTCCAGACGGCCACATAAGCGCATCTGAAAGCACAGCGCGATGCGGTGGGCATCTTTGTTCGATGACCAGCCAAAATCAGCTGCTGCGAGGATGACAAACGTGGTTCACCAACTGGTAAATCGGCCCATGAATCGGTCATCCGAGAACGCCGCCTGACCTAGCCGAGGCCACGTGACCTCTGAGGCCAGCACACGTGACCTCAGAGACGGTCCCAGCTTGGCCTTTATGGACACGTGCAGCCAAACTGTCAATCCACTGCTGGATGAAGGCCTTTATGTGGGTCCCAGAAAATGGGCAAACGAAGAGGGGGAGAGGGGCTGTATTGGATAGCGTCTACCAAGTTGTTGGGTGGGAAGACTTCAAACTGATGGCAGGAGACTGTGGCAAGTGAAGACAGTGGGTTGCCCAGTGGTGGGGGACAGATTAGGTATTTAAGTGAGTTGCTTCATCTTATCCGCACCAATTGCGCGGACAATCGTCGTGAATTTCCTTACACGTGTGGTTCACTTTATTTACCTATCCTCGGAACATAGGTTAGGACAAAGGAGCACACTGATAACAGGAAGTCTGCCGGATTGCTATGGGCGAGTGGATAATATGAATGGATAAGAATAGCTCGGACAAGAGCTGTTACTACTGTAACATCAACTGCAACAACAACAATGTACGACGACTTATTTGTTTTTGTATTTAAACAAAGCACAGCGATGCTGCAGAATGTAGGTTAATCCAAGGATGAGACGTGCGTTTATTTAAGTAACCGTGGCATACACTTGAACAGAAACACATCCCGGATGCGTTCATTGTGCCCCGATGCCCTTTCAGTTGTTCCCCTGTAAATTCATTTGCGGGCACCCGAAAGCGTCAGTTTCAGTGTCATTTACTTGGTATAGCCCTGTGAGCCATTCGGCTCTTGAATAAAAAACATGAACAAGAAAACATCTTAAAGTGACTATGTGACTGTGCAAACAGAAAATCCAGGAAAAAACAGAAAAATATTCATGAAAAAGCACCGTACACCAACGCTGTGCAAAAATCCCAGGGGGGTGTAAGTCAAACAACAACAACAACCAACCACAAAACAACTTAGATTAGGGCCATCCGTCTAACTCCGTACTACAACAAACAAACATGGCCAAAGCAAAAAACTTTTCGACATCACCAAAATAAAGCCATAAAAGCAACGTAACAGTGATCATAGAGGAACTGTGACCGAAGTTTCACAATAAACTACATAAACAACATTTAACACCAAACCCTAGAGCCATAGCTGGCTGCATGAGTCACTCCACAACAACAGGAGCATCAATCGGAGTATCACTTTTTTCAATGCACCTTTAAGATCTGCACACTAAATCAAAATACAGATAATACTTTGCAGCGGTCATCCGGAGCGAAACATTTTATTTTAGGCCACTGAATAGCAGTGGCACCTAGGGGTGTACAACTCCTCTAGAGCAGTTTTGAGTGAAGATCTCATAGGTAGTGATTCAAGTTGCAGTTTATTGGCAATAGCATTCCAATAGGGAATGTAAAAGCTGGTAAATAAACGAAGACCTGAGGTCAAATTTGTTCTTAGAAGCAGAGAGGAGATCCAGCAGGTAGTCTGCGGATTTTCTGTAAGTACATCGTGAATTAATAAGATCTGGTGCACAAGCCGTCGAACATTAAGATATGTTAAGGTTGACCCAATGTAGAGATCACAGTGGTGAGTCCTATATGGGCAGTCCAATGCAAATCTTAAGGCTGAGTGATAGATGGAATCAAGCTTCTTCAGTACAGTACTTGGGGCTGATTTATACACGATGTCACAGTAATCAAGTAGAGGCAGTATGGTAGCTTTTATCAATTCCAAACGGACACATAGGGGGGAAACTTGATCTATTTGATAATTATTTAAGGAATGTAATTGGGAAAAATAACTTCCTGCTTTAGTCCTGGTGAGAAGCATAGCACCTTGGTTTTGGAGGTATTCAGGACTAGTTTAAGAGCAACCAGCTGATGTTGTAGCTTGTTGAAATCACCCTGGAGCTTAGCAATCACGTCATCCGGAGAGCGGCCAGCGGTAATCAGTATCGTGTCATCTGCAAAACGATTTACCCTGGAATGACCCAGGTCAGTGCCCAAGTCATTGACATAAGGAGAGAACAAGAGGGACCCGAGGATGGAACACTGGAACCCCTTTTGTTATCTTAACACTGTTTCACCTCCAACCATCTGTGAATATAGTTCAGGAGCAACTAGCTGCAGTCGTGGACACGTCGCAAGGCCTCGCCGCTAGCTTGCTAGGCGGATGACATATGCTGTGATTCATGACATACCGTGCTGTATTTGCAATGTTACTAGCTCTGCGTTGGTGTACGGTGCTTTTTCTGCAATATTTTTCTGTCTTTTCTTGGATTTTCTGTTTGCACAAAGTCACATAGTCACTTTAAGATGTTCTCTTGTTCATGTTTTTTTGTTTGTTGCGGTTGCACCCGATTCAAGAGCCGAATGGCTCACAGGACTACACCAAAATAAATGAAACTCAAAAAAAGAGGAACCAGCAGTACCCGTACAGTAATGCAACCCAAGACCGTTAACACAGCGCCAGCGATGTGCCCACGTCTCATCAGAGATCGGCAGATCGGCAGATTTGGAGCCTGGATAATTCTTGCGTACAGCATTAACATGAGCAACACTTTTTTAATGTAATGAATGGGGGGGAGGGGGGGGGGTCATCAGCGGATGTCCGATGGATAAACTCATCACCGCCATATCAATGTGGAATTCCACCCCACCGACTCAGCGATGTAAATATGGCTTTGTGCATCGTGAGCGGAATGCCACTCTGACTTTCTCTTGACACAGCAGGCGTTGTGCTTGGGTATAGGCCATGTCGGTGTTACACTGTGGGTAAGGATAATCAATGGTTGTACTCTACTCCTATGCTCTCCGCCAAACACACACTAAACAAGCGTGAACGTCGTTTCAATAACGCCCCCCCCTCCCCTGTGACCGACACGTGGTGGTGCGGAGCAGGAACGCCTTCATCCAGCAGTGGATTGACGCAAAGGGCTGTCAGCATCACGGCACGCGAGGAGTCACCCCCCAGATGATGCGATGCCTGCAGGAGCCAGCGGCGTTCACTCCCCGCGGCATCTGCCCAGCGGTAAAGGCGCAGCCCCGCAAATTGCTCGCTCACGCCGCTGCCGGCAGAAGCGCCTCCACGAGCGAGAGGGAGGGAGAGGACTCAACTAGGGTCGACTAAAACCAGGGTGAACCAGGGTCGACTGAACCAGGGTGAACCAGGGTCGACTCAACCAGGGTGAACCAGGGTCGACTAAAACCAGGGTGAACCAGGGTCGACTCCACCAGGGTGAACCAGGGTCGACTAAAACCAGGGTCGACTCCACCAGAGTGAACCAGGGTCGACCCACCAGGGTGAACCAGGGTCGACTAAAACCAGGGTGAACCAGGGTCGACTCCACCAGAGGGAACCAGGGTCGACTCCACCAGGGTGAACCAGGGTCGACTAAAACCAGGGTGAACCAGGGTCGACTCCACCAGGGTGAACGACGCTTGCGTCATCTTAGACCGCCGGCGGCGGCAGACAGAGCCGGCGGCCTCCTGCTGCTGGCTCGCGGTCCCCGGCGTTCAGTGCCGACGTCTCGCGCGTTACCGTGTTGTGACTCTTCCTCCCCTCACCCATCCACTCGCTCGCCCATCCACTCGCTCGCCCATCCACTCGCTCGCCCATCCACTCGCTCGCCCATTCACTCGCTCGCTCATTCACTCGTTCACTTAAACACCCATCCACTCGCTCGCCCATTCACTCACTCGTTCGCTTACTCACCCATCCACTCGCTCGCCCATTCACTCACTCGTTCGCTTACTCACCCATCCACTCGCTCGCCCATTGACTCACTCGTTCGCTTACTCACCCATCCACTCGCTCGCCCATTCACTCGCTCATTCACTCGTTCACTTAAACACCCATTCACTCGCTCGCCCATTCACTCGCTCGCTCATTCACTCGTTCGCTTACTCGCCCATCCACTCGCTCGCCCATTCACTCACTCGTTCACTTACTCACCCATTCACTCGCTCGCCCATTCACTCGTTCACTTAAACACCCATCCACTCGCTCGCCCATTCACTCACTCGTTCGCTTACTCACCCATCCACTCGCTCGCCCATTCACTCGTTCACTTACTCACCCATCCACTCGCTCGCCCATTCATTCACTCGCTCGCTCGCTCCATCCTTCTTCGCGCGGACATAATTCCCAAACTCCGCCCGCCAGCCGCGTCTCACCCCACGACGAGGAAGACAACAACCACCATGAGGAAGTAGTTGCTCTGGTAGTATTGGAGGTTCCGCACGACCCGAGACCTCCACTTGGCCCAGTTGCCCGCGTCGGGCAGCGCGAAGCGAGCGGAGCCCGTGAGGAAGTCGTCCGCGCTTCTCAGCGGCGGGAACTGCACGCTCGCCGGCATTTGCGACGTTCCGGGCTCGGGGCCCCCCCCCACACACAGCCCGTCTCGCGCGGCGACTTGCGCAGACGGCGGCAGCAAAGCACGCGGAGTCCCTCCTCGCCTGCTGCGGCGGAGAGAGGCAGAGGGGGGTCGTCGTGGTGGGGGTGGGGTCGTGGTGGGGGTGGGGTCGTGGTGGGGGTGGGGTCGTGGTGGGGGTGGGGTCGTGGTGGGGGTGGGGTCGTGGTGGGGGTGGGGTCGTGGTGGGGGTGGGGTCGTGGTGGGGGTGGGGTCGTGGTGGGGGTGGGGTCGTGGTGGGGGTGGGGTCGTGGTGGGGGTGGGGTCGTGGTGGGGGTGGGGTCGTGGTGGGGGTGGGGTCGTGGTGGGGGTGGGGTCGTGGTGGGGGTGGGGTCGTGGTGGGGGTGGGGTCGTGGTGGGGGTGGGGTCGTGGTGGGGGTGGGGTCGTGGTGGGGGTGGGGTCGTGGTGGGGGTGGGGTCGTGGTGGGGGTGGGGTCGTGGTGGGGGTGGGGTCGTGGTGGTGGGGGTGGGGTCGTGGTGGTGGGGGTGGGGTCGTGGTGGTGGGGGTGGGGTCGTGGTGGGGGTGGGGGTGGGCCAGGAAACCAGCCGACACCCTGGGTGGGGTGGGGGTGGTGGAGGGGAGGGGAGGGGTGGTGGTGGAGGGGTGGGGGTGCTGGAGGGGTGGATGGGGGTGATGATGATGGAGGGGAGGGGTGATGGTGATGGTGGAGGGGTGATGGTGGTGGAGGGGAGGGGTGATGATGGTGGAGGGGTGGGTGATGATGGTGGTGGTGGAGGGGTGATGGTGGTGGAGGGGTGATGGTGGTGGAGGGGAGGGGTGATGGTGGTGGAGGGGTGGGTGATGGTGATGATGGTGGTGGTGGAGGGGTGATGGTGCTGGAGGGGTGGGATGATGGTGATGATGGTGATAGCTGTGTAGGGGAGGGGTGATGGTGATTGTGGTGATGGCTGTGTAGGGGAGGGGTGATGATGGTGATGGTGGTGGTGTAGGGGAGGGGTGATGGTGGTGATGGTGATAGCTGTGTAGGGGAGGGGTGATGGTGATGGCTGTGTAGGGGTGGGATGATGGTGATGATGGTGATAGCTGTGTAGGGGAGGGGTGATGGTGATTGTGGTGATGGCTGTGTAGGGGAGGGGTGATGATGGTGATGGTGGTGGTGTAGGGGAGGGGTGGTGCCGTCACGGTCGCCATCAGCAGCAGCTGACCCCTCCCCCCGGGATGAATGCTCGCTCCAGCCGACGTCAGGCGGACGTTGACGAGTGACAGGCGGAGTGCCACGTGGGTCCCGGGCAGCACAGACTGTTGTTGTGTTTTAACACGTCTGAGTAGTAGTCGTAGGCTTTCGCGATTTTACCCAACAACCTTTATTATGAATTATATCATCCATGATACAGGGTTTTTTGTTGGGGGGGGGGGGGGGTTAGATCGGCAGCCACGCTCTATACACGTGACTGTCGCCTGATAGAGCCTGTTATAATTACTGGCGAAACGTCGTGCTCAGATTGTAAATGTTGTGGTGTGGTTTGGCTCTCCAACACACCGGTGGGTGCTGTACTAGTGACGAATCGGAACGTTCTGTTCACGTGACAAACCTTACTAGTTGGCTGTGTCGGGTGGTGGCGGGTTTAACGACACATTTACGCGATCTAACCGTTTTGTGGTTGTGCACCAACGAAGTGCGGAACGGCACACGAGGGGGTGGATGTCCAACGCCACGCCCGGCCGCCTGTCTCTCCCCAGTGGCGATGTTTACACACCGCGGCAAGGCACTCGTTTAAGGCCGAGTAGATCTAGGAGGAGGCCAATGATAATTGTCACCGGTGTTGGCCGTGAGCGGGAATAATCGAACACGGGTCGCCGGGGTTCGTAGGGCGGCGCGCTAACCGCTGCACCACCGCTCCCCCGGGGAGATCGTACGCACTTACACACACAACGCTGGCAGATGATGCACCATGAAACAATGACACGGGCGCATCGTAACTGAAGCCGACACCAATCTCGCTCCCACCACACCGGCACCCTGCTCTGGCGAAAATTCTGCGACCAGAAATCCGCAGAGGCGACGACAAACCACGACTGGACATCTCTAAAAAAAAGAGCTTTATCGCTTATCGGATTCCTCCATTATAAATATTCTGATTCTCACATACACATCAATGAGCTTAACCGCCTACTCAAGTCCTGATCCCAACCCCTTCTGGGATCTCGCTGCTGCTGCTGTCACCATCCTAGAATCTCACCGCCCAGATCCGGAACAACGCTTGCTTCTGTGACAACAGTGGAACAACGCGGACGTCCACAATATATTTACCCCCTCGTTCGAGACCCAAACATCATCATCGTCGCACCTCCTGGAGAGCTTCGAGATTCCTCCTCGAAGGTCTACGGCGGAACCATCAACGGCACCGGCATATCGGCAGGACAATGTGTGCACACCGATCTCATTCGTGGGAGATTAAAGACACAACCACAGTAGTGTGCGACTGTGGCCATGCCACCCGAACTACGGACCATATAATGAACCCCTAGAGACACATAGATACACATTAAAGACAAGCCCACAGTCGTGCAAACTGTGACAATGCGACCCAAACTATGGGCCATGTAGCAAACCCCCGTAATCTGCGCTCCTTCAACTGAGGAACAGGAACACAATGTACATTACACACCAAACGCGTATTTTTAATTCTTACGGTCAGATTATATCGAGGAAAGTACATGCCCCATCTTGTTTACAGTGCAACACACAAACCGAGAGTTTCGAGGTCACACATCATTAGTTCTTAATCACGGTTCATTAACCCAAAGTGTTACGAACACAAACAACACGCATTATCGCACACACAATTACAGATGCAGGGCAGAGCCCATTGCTACGTAGTTTTGCAAATAATGACCATGCACTGCATTATATCACGACCCCCCATTGCGAACTTTCAATTGCAGGTGGTATATTTGCATTCGGATATTCCTTTCTTTCAGTGCAACGTTGTGATTCAATGTAATCTTTTTTAAAGATCATTTGAGCAAGAGGTGGCCGGGTGGCTCAGAGGTCAGAGGGCTCGACTGGCACGGCTGAAAACCTGGGTTCGATTTTCAATGTGCAGAGTTTTCACTCCATCACCACGCAGGGTGCTGTGGAGTCGTGTTGTGCTGCAGTTATCGCACGTGAACAGTTTCATTTAATGTGTACTCAACATGTTGCAGGGTGGTACAATGGTTAGCGCACTGCACTATGAACTTGGTGACCGGAATGAGATTCCTGGCTCTGGGTGATCACAGTAGTGTGCGGTGGTATCTGAACCGGTCCAGGGCATCCTCAACAAAAATCCCAACCTTCAACCCTAACTGGCCAGTGTGGTGAAGTGTCGTCAACACACACACACACCGACGACATCAAGGAAAGTGGTGACCGTCATCCAACATTTGAATTGGCCAGTGTATTAAAAACCCACTTGAGTCTCAAAAGACAACCACCACCTTTGTTCAAACTTTTAACTGCAAAGTGCGCCCACTGTGGGAAGGGAACTGACACACATCACGGTTTTCTCCAGCCACAGTCGCACGCAAGTCACCATACCGGCAACCATCATCGGCAACATCATCTTTGGTCACAAAGGCCAATGGCAAGTGGACGACAGTTGATCATCGATTATCCGGCGTGCGATTATCCTGCTTCCAACATTATCCGGTGGTCCCGAGCCGATCCGGCGAAACAGGCAAACCGGCGATCGTCAAACACATGTTGTTGAAACAAGAGCGTCGTAGTACTGTACGTATATCACCCCAGATGCAGAGCCTTCGAGATTGGAATGGTACCTTTTTACAGTATGTTTATTTTTGGCAATTTCATATAGTAAACAAATGTAAAACGCAAAAAAACATATACACGCCACCTAAAAACATGTAGTACCAAAATGTGCAAAAATAAGATATGTTAAATCATGATTAGTGATTATCCGGTGTTTAAAAAAATCCGGCGCCCCCTAAGCCGCCGGATAATATAATCGATGATCGAATTTTATTCAAATAACACAATGAAGCGCGTAACACAACAACGACATACGGGTAAAAACAACAGTTTACTAGCTCGCATATTTCTATCTTAAACGTGCTCCACGCTCACAAAAAAAAGTGCACATGAGCTCATAGTTTACTGTTGCCTACAAAAATGGAAGTTCACCGTGGCGTTGGAGACACAACAATTTACAACTTAGGCGACCTTCACAAAAAACAGCTTCTCAAACTCAAGTCCAAGTAGGGGGGGTAGGTGTTTACCAATCGCCACACGCTTGTGACGGATGCTGATGTGGTGTAACGGTCAGCACACTGGACTTGCAACCCAAAGGTCCCCTGGCTCGATCTCCCGGGCACGGCAGTCAAGACAACGGTGCGAGTTGCATAAATCCGCTCACCGCTGTCCACCCAGCGATATGAATGGGTACACCGAACTTTGGAGTCGATTGGCATGTCCCAATGTGGTGGGGTAAAGTGTGGGTACTCCCACCCCGAGACATCTGGCGAGGGTGGAAGAGTAGACCAAAAAAAGCCTTTGCTTGCGTGGGCAAGTACAAGGCCGCACCGTCACCTTACACGTATGTGCGTTGAACTTCTTTCGCGCCGTACTAGCCAACCTTGCAGTATGTTACGACAAAGCCGCCATTTGAATATAGGTTGAGGGAAATTGGACAGTGTAGAGGCAAGGGAAACTAGTGTGGGGAAACCCTGCCACGAGGTGTTGCTTTGAGCTATGTTTTGCTGCGTGATGGCGTTGGTCGATTTGTGGTGCTGTGGTGGGCAGCGGAGGGCATTGCGGTAAAACCCACTGCTCTCTATTCTCTGCCCTGCACCAACACGAACCCGCACTGACAAGCAAGGTGAAGGTTACGGTACATATAGCCCCCCAATAACCCGCATGACGTTGTACGGCATCACGTCCGACGTTTCACTCCACGTGCTCGGGGAGCTAATTCCGTTGCTGAAGAAGCTCTCGGCACGTGGAGAGAAACGTCGGACGCCGTACCGCCGAACGATGCGCGGTAAGGCCTGAGAACGCACCCGGGGCCAGTGCGGCACAACCGCTGAAGTCTCCGCCGCAGACTTTTTTCGTCACCGCTCGTCTGCGAAGAGCGTGGGGTCGAACGGGAGGACGCCTCGGCAGGAGGGCGCGCCGCAGAAGCACGGCTTCCGCTGGCCCGCGACGCCGTCACCGTCCGGGGAAGCGCAGACGGCGCTCGAGTCCTCACGACCTCCCCGGTCGCCCCCTGGGGCGCCGTCTCCGTCGTCGCCGGCATCCGCGCCGGTTTCCCGGCCGCCGTCGCGTTCTGGCCGCCACGAGGGTCCGCACGCTTCCGCGGCCGCGTGCGGGTTTAGAAATTCTCCCGAGTAGTCGTAGCAGAGCTCCTCGCCGTCGGCGATGTCGCGCGCGGCGAACAGAGCCAGCCTGCAGGGCACCGTGCGGGGGGGGGGGGGGGTAAAGGTCGGAGAAATGTCAGCTCGACAGTCGTGCGTTGTTCGCAGTGCGGTCGCGGTCAAACTGCATGCGTGCGCTCATTGATGCAAGACAAGAGGGACTCTGTTGTGGGCACACGACGTGAATATTACGTAACGTTTCGGAGTCGTCCTCTGATACGTGTTCATTTTTACACATATACACATATTGTTGCATAGTTGCTAAGCACAAGAGCAAAGGCCCAAGAAGCCAAGCGGCCGACTTTGGTGGTTTCACCGCAAGGGATTGGGGTGGGGGGGAGTCATTTAACGGCGACCTTGGCAACACGGAGTGGACGCGGACGAGCGCCATGACGAGGTTGGGCTCGCACGAGTGGTTGAGGAAGCGACCCACGTTCCCGACGCGCTCCGGATCCACGTAGGTGCTCGTGGCCGGGGCGACCCCCCGGCCGTCCCCGGCGTGCTCCCGCACCGCGATCAGGTAGTTGATGGCCCTGCCGTCACTGCCCGAGGCCTGCCGGGCGGCCCGGCGCCGAGCCTCGGCGCCGCCCAGCACCTCGCCCACGTACTCGCACACGAAGCGCCCGCGGCCCAGCGGCTCCAGCGTCCGCACCGCCCAGCCCTTCCGCGCCGTGCGGAACACCTGCAGCTGGGCGCGACAGGCGTGCACGTGGGCGGCAAGCAAGGCCCGTAACGTTGAACTTCTTTCGCGCCGATCGTAGCCAACCTGTGCTAATCGGAGGTGCGGAGGAAGGACAACAAACTAAACACAAAAAGCAGTTCTGGCATAAACACAAAAAGCAGGTTCTGGCATAAACACGGGAGGCGTTAAGATGTTCAAACACCAAATAGACATCTATAACAAAATCATTAATGCAGACTTGACAAAATCATGTCTGCATTAACCACACATTCGTGGTAAAAAATACAAACCAGAGGCTGTCTCTGGTGTAGGCCGATCAGTTTCAAGGACAGTGCATGCACCACCAACGCATATATTTGATATTTTTTTTTTCATCACAAACATATTTCGTTAATACAAGCTTGATGCCTTGGTCTATTTGGTGTGTGAACATCTTTACAGCTGGATTTGTCAGAAAGGGTAAATCCAATTTTTATCATACAATAAAGGGTCCCGTAGATATGTGCACGTGGGAATTTAAGAGTTTGGTCTCGAAGGTGGTAGAGGTGCAGCTCTGTAACGGCTCTGCTCACACCACGGCGGTGGAAGAGCCTCCAGAAGAGGAAGCCTCTCGAAAACCCCTCCAGAGGTTATTTTCCCCCTTCTCTATAACTAGGTGGGACCACGATCACTTCGCTCCACCACACACGCCACCTGCCGATCGACTGTGGCGTATTCATGTATGCGTTTAAAACTACAAAAATATATGAAAAGGTAAAAAAAAAACACCACTGAAACTACTGAAACGTATAAGTTAATTCGGGAACGTAAAATCCATAATTCCAGTGGCGAACATGTGCTGCTTTGGCTCGTGACGTCTCTGCGTAGTCAGCACGCAGAAAACAAGTCAGCATTGCTTTGTGGGAACTTTCAAGTCTTGAAAGGATCATGACGTCGCTCACATCAGTGCATGGTCAAAGCTCGAGAGAAGGAACGTTTCACGATTGAGTCTCGCCCGGAAGACCACGCTCGCATTGCAAGCCGTCGCAAAGACCCGCATGGCTGCATCGTTTCAACTCACCCGTACCGCCAGTCCCTTCTGCACCACCCTGCTGGGGCACGCGTCTCCGCAGCGGCACAGGGGGTTGCACTCGAAGATGGGGCGCGCGAATCCGGCATCGCCGACGAGACGCCCGGCGGGGTCGTAGCACGCCGCGCCGTCGCCACCGCCCCGGAGGCACGGGCATGCGACGGGCGACGCGTCGCAGCGCCCGTCGGCGCACTCGCACCCCGGCAGTGTGAGCTCGCCCGGGTCCACGGCACAGCCGGGGCCCCGCACGTAGTCCGGCGTGTACTGGCCTCGTGCGATCGCGGCGGAGAGGGGGAGAACGGACGAAGGGAGCAGAGGATGAGGGGACGTCAACGCGGACGAATTTTCAGTTTTTCAGTTTTTCAGTTTCATTTACTTGGTATAGCCCCGTGAGCCATTCGGCTCTTGAATTGGGTGCAACCGCAACAAACAAAAACACGAGCAAGAGACATCTTAAAGTGACTACGTGCAAACAGAATGAAGCGCGATGGGGGCCCGGGGCTGCTATCGTTCTTGGGGGACTCCGCTTTGTACATTAAATTCCTTCCCTTCATTGATTTAACATCACCGATAACAAACGCTCGGACAACGGTTACTTACCTTCCTTATTGCAGTTCTGGTTTTGAAATGTGATATATACGAATTGTAGAGCTACATTTAGTTTAAATGTACAAAACTATTTTAATGTTGGCATATAACTGGTAGTCATGCATATCGTGCTGCTATAGATTAAATTAACAAATTAGACTATGGGATTTATCATCATGCTAAAGTATTGCGTTTCAACCATTATAAAGTAGTTTTTCTTTTTTGGGGTACCTTAAAACCAATGCTCCGGGCAGTAACCTCTGTGTTTATCGTGCAGGTAAGAATCCGTTTTGATTTGTATACCTTGTATGTAATGGGTCAATGAGCGATAGCAATAGGTTCATGGGCAGGCGGTTAGATGGACTGTTACATCGCAGCACCGTGAGAGATGGCAGCGGCTTGGGGAGGCCTTCAGCCAGCAGTGGATTGACCTTGGCCGACGACGATGAATGGGATCCTTGCTGCTACAAGTTTTTGGTGGTATCGTGTGATGCACATGTCCTATTTTCGGTACATATCTTCATTTGCAGCTGCAATAAGATGCTATAAAAATGCGAAATGTTATCCAATTGTATTGTATGTCATTTCAATCATCGCAAATTATTATACACAAACTCGATTTACAGTATAATCAGCGGAACACTACACGTCTTCTGTTCCTATGCAACCAAATCCAGCAATTGCCTAGCTTGGGATTTCTCCAACTCGTCCTTGTGACCCACCACCCCAGTAAACATGCACCGTTGGGCCAACGTTGTGCCAACGTTGGCATGTGGTGGGAACCGTCGGACCAACGTTGGAGCAACGTTAGACCATCTTTCCATGTTTACCAATCTTCTCCGTTCAAATACAACATTAAGTCGTTACATGCTGCACATGCCTCATGATTGCTAAACCGTTACATTCATGTGGTGTGGAGAGTGCTTGCTTAAACAACGTACTTTAGGCTCTCCTGGGAGGCACACGTGTTAAACACTTAAGTTGAGTTTTCTGCTCATTACAAATGACAACAAAACCCCCCAAAACTAAATAAAAATTCCACTGTTGAGGAAAGTTTTGTTAGGGAGCACCTATTAAGGCAACCATGGTGCACCTCCGATTAGCACGGTTGGCTACGTACGGTCCGAAAAAAGTTCTACATACATACTAGGGGATGGTGTTGCCAGGATCATGCCTGGCTGCCTTTGTCTCCCCAATACGTATGTTTACACGCCGTACCAGGTGATCCATTCAAGGTTCACTTGACCTCGGAGAGGCCCAGAACTGGTTCAGATGTTTGTCAGCGATGTTGGCCACGGTCGGAAACCAAACTCAGATACGTTGGGTTTGTTTCAGTGTGCTAACCACTACTCCAGCCACGTACTTAACGCACGTACACACACAACATCTCAATCTCTATTAGAATCGGTGCTCTCCACAATCACGTGGAATGTGTTTCACAATCATTAGGTACGTGCGTCTTGTTACTTAGATTCTCAGTCATCGTGAAACGTTGGGTCAACGATTCCAACTACATGCCAGCGTTGGGCCAGCGTTGGCATATTTACGGGGTTGGTAAATATCTATGGGGACCTTTTTGGCAGTATGTAGAATGATGAAAACATAAGAATAGGTTTTACCCGTTCTGGCAATGAAACAGGTGTTAAGATATTCTTGGTTCTTTCGGTAAAGTCACGTAGAAGGGAAACAATAAAATAAAAATATAAAACAATAAAATTCTCACAACGTTTCGACTGCAACACAAGCAATCATCATCAGGTGTGAAAACCACAGCAAGAAAATTTGAAAAAAGTGTTTTGCTGTGGTTTTCACACCTGATGATGATTGCTTGTGTTGCAGTCGAAACGTCGTGAGAATTTTATTGTTTAATATTTTTATTATTTTATTGTTTCCCTTCTACGTGACTTTACCGAAAGAACCAAGAATATGAATCCCTGCAGTCACGAAAGCTTTAAATCAGGTGTTAAGATGTTCAAACACCAAATAGGTACCTTCTGCAAGGGATAAAGTCTGCATTAACCACCCAGGGTACTTGTGGCAAAAAAATGCACACAAACATGCTCTGATAATATGCGCATTGTCTTTGAAACTGATTGGGTTACGACAGAGACAGCCTTCTTCATGGACTTGTCTCACCACCAGTGTCTGGCCAGACAACGGGGTTGGTAAACCTGGAAAGGTTTACCGTGATGGGTAACGCCAGGGATGGCATTTGAGAAACCCGGACACAAGGCATGTAAGGTGTGGTTCATCAAGCAGGTACCTGTATGCAAGGTGGCATCTCATCATCCACACCGTTTGTCAATTCAATGGGAAGACTTTCCAGTCCCTGGGCCACGTCCGTGCATGCCCCACGAGACATCTCCACGACCCCTGTGCACCAACGTGAGACACATTACACGTGGTGACACCGCTTTGGTTAAACGTGCACAGTGACAAAAGTGCGCAGCTGTAAGCTCATTGACAAATGTTGAGTGTTTTTGCTGTTATTGCTTGTGCACCAATGCAGAATCGCCAAATTTACGTGAACTTTAAACCACAATCTGTATTCCAAATAATGCTCCAAAATCCTCGCTCTGCCTTTAATTGGGGCCATTGACATGAATATCAACCTTTTAATTGTATTCGTATATGTTGATATCTTCGCTGGTAAATACTGCACGGTATTCTTTTGTGATTTTTTGCTCCAGCGTTTCATTGTCACGCTTTGACCGAGCTGCAGAGCTCCCTCTAGCGGGGATGTTATGCAGAGTGCAGCTAAAACCTAAACTTTACCATGGAAAGTTACAGTTCGAGATGGGGCGATTATTCGGTTTGCAGTCGATCATCGATTATCCGGCTGCTGCTTTCAACAGTACCCGGACCGATCCGGCAACACCGCTGCAAAGGCTGTCCAGCCTGGTGATCGGCACCGCGTGCGTTACAAAACAAAGTGGCTATGCCTGATCTCAGTGTCAAATATATTATACACGGTACATATCACACTACAAATGAAACAATACAAATACTGCACGTTTATACATCACCCCTCGCGGAGTCGTCGATAATGGAGTGGTAAGTACGGTGCAGTAAATACAGTAACGTTTTAAAGGATATTTTTGTGCGTATGCTTATTTACACAAATTTGATAAAGTAAACAAATGTAAAACACTAACACAAATATATAACACCTAAAGACATGCGATGTAAGAATGTGCAAAAAAAACTGTTCTAAATCATGATGAGTCACCTGGCATTTTGAACATAAGGCGCCCCCCCAAAATAATCGATTATCGATTTGTATTTCTAAAACAATCCACCACTCGTATTGTGGTCGATTACCTACTTTGGAAATTTCAATCGCCTCCACAGCCCGCTTCTCAAAGGTGGGACCCCCCCCCCTCCCTCTACAAAAATTATACCGCGCGTGAAGCGCACGACGATGCCACGTGGCCACGACGGTGTCACGTGGCGGTGACGATGCCACGTGGCCACGACGGTGTCACGTGGCGGTGACGACGATGCCGTGTGGCCACGACGGTGTCACGTGACGATGATGCCACGTGGCATCATCCATCGCCCATCACCTCCCGTACAGCGGCACACTGCAGGAATAGATACGAACTTATCCCCCCCTCCGACCTCCGCCATGCTCTCGTTATCCGCTTACAGTGAAGTAATCGGTCAATTGATTAAATATCACCATCGTCCGGTACTAAGTTACAATGCGGCTCTTTGAATAGGGAGGGCGAGGTCGGTGTTGTCATCCTACGTGTTAAGCGGCCGTCAAGGGGTATAGGGATTTCCCGCCCACCCCGTGTAAGCAACCGGTAGCTCGTGATGGTACCTGCCAAACACTGAACCCGTAGTGCTGTAACAACCATTCCGCACATCCACTGTTGTCCGAGGGCCATCCCGGCACGCCTGGCGGATCGGGATAGCTATTTGACCATACTTCACCGCGCCGGTGAGGGCGGGGTTGAAGGTCGAGAGCATACAAAATACAGTACAACACGCGTTGACCGTGTCGCCCAGCCACTGATCGACCCGCGATCGCTCGCTCAACCTGCCACGTGCATCTCCCACACAAGCACCCGTGTTAACAGCCGCTTTAGTTTAACACGCAGTAGAACTTTCGCGACCAACATCATCCACAATGCAGGTTGTTGGGGTTAGATCGCGTAAAAATGTGTGTCGTTAAACCCGCCACCACCCGACACAGCCAATTGGTAAGGTCTGTCACGTAAACAGAACGTGGCCAATTCGTAGACTGGTACAGCAGCAGCACGCACCCGTGTGTTGGAGGGCAAAAGCCACGGACATTTATAACGCTGTAGCACCGCGAGATTATATCCGTGCCGGTTTGGCGAGAGGCGTTGTTGCACTGTTACAGCGCGCGCAGTAAAATCACGAACACCTCTCACCCCCTACGAGTCACTGCATTGTCATCATCAACAGTGTGCAGTGTGTCTGATGGCGGCTTTAGTGAACGCGTGACATTGTTATCTTTGCGTGAAGCGTCACTTTAAAAACAAAGCGGAACACGCCGCAGAGAGCGCCATCACCCACCACGTGGCGCCCGATCGTGCTGGACTGTACCACCTAGACACAGGGCGGGAGGGGTGGCGGAAGTTTAATGGCCAATAATTAATCGGCGTGTTTGTTTAAATAAAGTTGCGATGCAATTTGACGGTGGAGTATTATTTTTAAAGTAATTATTACAATGACTCGGTGGCAAAGTTGGGTTAAATGTGAGCTGTGTGTGGAGTTTTTATTGATTTCATACTTGGTTATGGCGCTCTACCCACCCCTCAGCCTCTAGAGGAGAGCTTGGAGTTTCCCACTCGTCGAGGGCGGGGTGATGGTGACATCACTCAGACAGAAAATATATCTGCAATGTCTCTTTCATATATATCAGTGTCCCCGCATACAAAAAATATACAAGTTTTTTTTTTCACAGTCCATCAGCCACACGACCTTCTGAGAGCACATGACTTTAGCTGCATTGATACGCAAACTCTGGACCGGTTTTTGACATTTTAGTGTCTCATCACCAGCCATCCAGGCTCGTTTGTACCAATATTTGTGAATTGACGTGTTATTATCTGCATGGGTCCTGGTTCGATAAGACTTTGCAACCACTTTGGAAGTTCAACGTGGTTATCCTGACTTAACTGGTTGCCGCTGTGACGTGGGGAAATGCCCTTCATTGGTTCAGGATTGACCAAAATGTATGAACTTACTATTCAACGTCCATTTGAGAGTCGAGGCACTAATTTAAAATGTGTGGCTGCTTGACGCAGACCACTGGTCCAAATATTGCACCAACATTTTTAACCGAAGCCAATATTCCATTGACGGTAAACGACTTAACAGATGGGCTGTACGGTATATGAATATACGGGTACGTCGTATATCCAACTCTTGGGACTGAAATATAGAGAGTTACGTGAAAGGGTAGTTTTTGTGAACGTCTCTCAAATAACTGACACCAGGTACAAGCACTGCTCCGAGTGTGGGCGGTTAATTGGCCAGGATGGATATGCGACGTTGGGCTGTACTGCATTGGAAATCCATACCTCCCATTGCAAATGATACACAGTGGCGAGATGTTAACTAACCCGCCTGGTATACAGGAGGTTATGGGTTCAATCCCAACCCTGACGCCTGTATATTTGGAGTTTGCGTGTCGCTCTCCCCGTGGTCGTGTGGATTTTTCTCCGAGGCCTCCGGTTTTTCCCTCCACATTTAGAAACGTGCGTTTAGAATATTTGGCTGCTCTAAATTTCGAGATGAGAAGGCACTTCGTTGGGCCATAATTTGTGGCCAGGTCGCTTCTGAAAAATAGCCACATAGCTCAGTTGGACCTTACCTGGTCAAATAAAAAATAGTTATGTTATTTTATAGTAAGCAGAGCATTAGCACGGAATGCTATCATCACAATGTAAAAACAACCCTGGGCAGGTCTGCAGGCCCGAATTAACTGTGAAACCCAATGATTATTTACGTGTGCGGATGTGATTGAGTGGTATTCAAACCAACCGTTGGCGGTTGCATAAGCCTCACGTCTATGATTTTTCGTCTGCAAGGGTACACACAGGCGCCTCTGTGGGAACTCTGCACGTCAGTGCCCTTGTATTTGGTTACTTTAAAAGTAAGAAAGGGCTCTTTGGCTAAACTGCCCCAGACGAGGTGAATGGAATGTTAAAACAAATTTCTCTGGCCACTCATCTGGATTTTTTGCTAAATGTGACTTCTTTAAAAAAAAAAAACGCTTCTCCGAGCTTAGATGTGTTCTTGCACAATCGTAACAAACTTTTACGGTATTTTTCTAGATTTATATGCGGTTAGAATGAAAACTGAAGGAACTTTTTTTTGAAGACTGATTCAGCACTTTGCTCCCCGTTATGTGAGAAATGTACACAAGTGATTTGCTTTCTTTAATCTATTTATGGCATTATATTTTATCCAGGAAAACCTCACCGAGTCTCAATGTTCACTTTTCTAGATGGTTTTGTGTTAAGATGTTTGGCCATTTTAAGCAATGTTTTCCCGTGGGAATGCACGTATATACAGTACGTACAATGGTAACACAACGGCATAGGCAAATTTACAGACCCACTTGCTGTGCTACCATCAGAAAATGGAAGCACAGCAAATGACGAAATCATGATAGGGGTCGGGGGTTGTGGAAATTATTCTGGGGGAATAACTGAGATTATTCAGTGGCTTCTGTAAACAATTGCCATGATCCAAACACCTGAAAAAACAACCGGGCAAAGCATGCACATTTATCATTTGTGTTTGTACAGTGAGGGAAAAAAGTATTTGATCCCTTGCTGATTTTGTACGTTTGCCCACTAACAAAGAAATTAACAGTCTATAATTTAATGGTAGGTTTATTTGAACAGTGAGAGACAGAATAACAACAAAAAAATCCAGAAAAACGCATGTCAAAATGTTAAAAATTTATTTGCATTTTAATGAGGGAAATAAGTATTTGACCCCTCTGCAAAACATGACTTAGTACTTGGTGGCAAAACCCTTGTTGGCAATCACAGAGGTCAGACGTTTCTTGTAGTTGGCCACCAGGTTTGCACACATCTCAGGAGGGATTTTGTCCCACTCCTCTTTGCAGATCTTCTCCAAGTCATTAAGGTTTCGAGGCTGACGTTTTGCAACTCGAACCTTCAGCTCCCTCCACAGATTTTCTATGGGATTAAGGTCTGGAGACTGGCTAGGCGACTCCAGGACCTTAATGTGCTTCTTCTTGAGCCACTCCTTTGTTGCCTTGGCCGTGTGTTTTGGGTCATTGTCATGCTGGAATATCCATCCACGACCCATTTTCAATGCCCTGGCTGAGGGAAGGAGGTTCTCACCCAAGATTTGACGGTACATGGCCCCGTCCATCGTCCCTTTGATGCGGGGAAGTTGTCCGTTCCCCTTAGCAGAAAAACACCCCCAAAGCATAATGTTTCCACCTCCATGTTTGACGGTGGGGATGGTGTTCTTGGGGTCATAGGCAGTAATCCTCCTCCTCCAAACACGGCGAGTTGAGTTGATGCCAAAGAGCTCCATTTTGTTCTCATCTGACTACAACACTTTCACCCAGTTGTCCTCTGAATCATTCAGATGTTCATTGGCAAACTTCAGACGGGCATGTATATGTGCTTTCTTGAGCAGGGGGACCTTGCGGGCGTTGCAGGATTTCAGTCCTTCATGGCGTAGTGTGTTACCAATTGTTTTCTTGGTGACTATGATCCCAGCTGCCTTGAGATCATTGACTAGATCCTCCCGTGTAGTTCTGGGCTGATTCCTCACCGTTCTCATGATCATTGCAACTCCACGAGGTGAGATCTTGCATGGAGCCCCAGGCCGAGGGAGATTGACAGTTCTTTTGTGTTTCTTCCATTTGCGAATAATCGCACCAACTGTTGTCACCTTCTCACCAAGTTGCTTGGCAATGGTCTTGTAGCCCATTCCAGCCTTGTGTAGGTCTACAATCTTGTCCCTGACATCCTTGGAGCGCTCTTTGGTCTTTGTCATGGTGGAGAGTTTGGAATCTGATTGATTGCTTCTGTGGACAGGTGTCTTTTATACAGGTAACGAGCTGAGATTAGGAGCACACTCTTAAAGGGAGTGCTCCTAATCTCAGCTCGTTACCTGTATAAAAGACACCTGGGAGCCAGAAATCTTTCTGATTGAGAGGGGTCAAATACTTATTTCCCTCATTAAAATGCAAATCAATTTATAACATTTTTGACATGCGTTTTTCTGGATTTTGTTGTTGTTATTTTGTCTCTCACTGTTCAAATAAACCTACCATTAAAATTATAGACTGATCATTTCTTTGTCAGTTGGCAAACGTACAAAATCAGCAGGGGATCAAATACTTTTTTTCCCTCACTGTACATGTGCTTGAATTACACCCGACTGTATGCTGTTTATGCTTATTGACAAATATTGTCAGATTTCGGAAGCTTAGGCGTGGTTGAGGCTGGACAGTGGTTAGATTTCCAGACCACATGGTGTGGCTCGTGCCCTCATCCAGCAGTGGAGTATATTCCTATGGGCTTTTATTTTTGTGCAGTATACTAGCGTACAACATAGTGTTATGGTGGCTTTGCACACCTGTGATATAACACTCTGGAGGCAAGGGTTGATGGGTCACACAAATGTCGTGAAATTCCCAACCCATGGGCATCGATATTGCCATATTAATGTCTTGGCAGGATATGATGGCCATACAGAAAGTGGATTCATTTCCATCTGCACTGTGTTACCCCGTTCTCCAAGAGCTCTGGTTTCCTCCTACTTTTATAAACACTAATTAATGGAGTTGGCCAAACATCCTAACACAGGACCACAGAGCTTGGGCACTGGCTCTGGCCGCCTTCTTGCTTGGCTGTGGTTTCCTTCGCGCTTTTCATCATTCTCTCTCCGAGAGTTAATGAAAATGCATGCATTACAAATTCTCAATTGTATTTTGTTACATTATTATACGTGTATTCGATATTAACATTTAATATGCAACAGGTCAATATTAAAGGTCCGATTACTCTGTTGCCCCATCGTAAATCAGCACAATGTAAAATAACGACAATATTTGCATTATTGTCCTAAACGTAATTTAAAATATATTTTAAATAACATCTGGTCTCTCTATTCCCGGAATGAGAGCTATGTCCGTATTTTTGATGCTAAATCAAAGTCGTTCACCGTGGGTGTTGGACTCCGCCAAGGGTGCGTCCTGTCTCCACTCATGTTTGTGATTTTCATGGACAGGATATAAAGCCGCAGCCGAGGTATGGAGAGTATCTAGTACGGGGGCACGGATGTGGCATCGCTGCTTTTTGCAGACGACGTTGTCCTCTTTGCCTCGTCAGTCTGTGATCTCCAGCGTGCACTTAAACAGTTTGATGGCGAGTGTGAAGCGGCTGGGACGAGGATCAGCACCTCCAAATCTGAGGTCGTGGTTCACTCCCGGAATACGGTGGATTGTGCTCTCCAGGTGAGGGGGAAACAGCTGCCCTTAGTGGAGGAGTTTAAGTACCTCGGGGTCTCTTTCGCGACTGATGGTAAGTGGGAGTGGGAGATCGGCCTGCGGATTGGTGCGGCGTCCGCAGTGTTGCGGGCACTGTACCGTTCCGTGGTAGTGAAGGGGGAGCTGAGTTCTCAGAGTCGAGCCGCTGCTCCTCCGGATCGAGAGGTGCCATTCGAGGTAGTTCGGGCACCTGGTAAGGATGCACCCCGATAGACTCCCCCTGCAACTCTACCGGGCAGCATGTCCCACTGGGCAAAGACCCCGGAGCCGTCCCAGGACACGTTGGTGGGACGATGTCGCTCGGATTGCCTGGGAACACCTGGGAATTCCCCAGGAAGAACTAGAGTCTGTGTCTAGTAGTGTGTAGTAGTGTATCGTATAGTCGTGTATTGTAGTGTATAGCGTAGTAGTGTATCATGTAGTCGTGTATAGTAGTGTAGTAGTGTGTAGTAGTGTATAGTGTAGTCGTGTATAGTAGTGTATAGTGTAGTAGTGTATCGTGTAGTCGTGTATTGTATAGTGTAGTAGTGTATCGTTATGTAGTGCTGGAGTCTGTCGCCAGGGAAAGGGAGGTCTGGGCCTCCCTACACAACACGCTCTTAAATCTTGATTTGAACAAACCTCTTGAACCTTGATTTGAACAGACCTCTATTAATACCAAAGACAACCCCTGGGAAATATCTGTCAACACACAGTTTTTTGCGATAACGCTCTGCTGTGTTTTCAGGTTACATTGCACGTTGTTTGGCATGATGTACTGAAAGCATTTGGGAATTATTCCAAAAAATCATTCAAATAATCCTAAGGTCATGTCAAGGTACAAAGTTTGGGTCTTATTTTTTGTTTCGATCTGAAAGTATGATGACACCAAAAGTGGTGCGACGTGACACTAAAACACGCCAAAGCATTACACGATATATAAATCGTCTATAAATCCATAATAATCTGAACGAATTTGTCCTTAAAAATCCAAAAATATGAACATTTTAAATGCAAAATGGCATCCCTCGAGTTTGCACTCTTATCTGACAAAACACTATTCACCAAATCAATGAGTTTAAAGAGTCAAAACAACTATAATTTTATTGCATATGAGTTTATAACAATGCATACATGAGCAAGTTGCGTATATATTGTATTGCATATGATAGTACAACGTACACAAAAGCTGTTTACTTAATGTAATATATTAAATGCATACAAATTTCAAATGTGTTTTAAACCATGACGCGATGCTCCATGCAGTCATGAATTCAATGTGCCCATAACTTCTATGTTATATATAAAAGTGCAGCCCTGCAACGACTTGATCGTGCCAATGCTGGCTCTATATTACATATAGTTCTCCACAAATATGATGAATATACTCTATACATGCAATCTATTTTGTTTGATTACCCACTGGGGGAATTATTTGAGAAAAGTGAATCCAGCGGTCACGCTGAGTAATACTGCGGGTGTCTTATCTCTTAAAAGTACCGCGCTGCGTGTGCCTGACAGTGGATGTTAAAGATCCCTTGACGTCATTCGAAAGAGTTGGCCGTTGCGTGCCGGTGTCACGGTTCAAATTCCAAAAATTACCCGCAAATTGCAGTACTCAATTGGGATTACGAGTGGCAGCAGCAATCACCCCCCCCCTCCCTACTGCCAAAACCTGGCAGGGCCCTCCTGAAAACAAGAGTCGTGAGACTTCGGTGTGGCTTTCCTGGGTAACCAAGCGTAACAGGTGAATAGTAACATCATCCTCCTTTGAGCAAGTGTAACGTCTTAATGCCAGCTGGGTTCCTGGTGAACCTATAGTTAGCCAAAATAACCTTTCTACGCATGTCCTCTAAGGCCTCTCTACGACCTTCATGATCGCCGGTTCCATTGTTGACACAGGATACGGAGCACATGTGGGCTAACTTCTTATTGACTGTAAGAATTGTAAGTGGTCTTGGAGAGGTCAAGTCGCAACAAAGGTAGATAATGATGGTCAAGACCAACGATGGAGTGGCAGCCAGACGGGCGAACGCGTCCAAGAGGACTTCCTGGCTTGTGATCGAATGTTGTCATCCTGGCTTGTGATCGAATGTTGTCATCCTGGCTTGTGATCGAATGTTGTCATCCTGGCTTGTGATCGAATGTTGTCATCCTGGCTTGTGTTCGAATGCTAAACGGATTGCCGCATCGCAGCGCTGATCAAAAAATGGCAACAGCTTGGGCAAGCTTTCATCCGGGAGTGGCTAGACCATGGCTGATGATCAGAATCATAATCAGAAGTTTATTGTCTGCGTAAATTGCCCTTTGAGCTACACAGCTTTTTTTTAACTGTGACTCGGCCAGCAGACAGACACGGCAGCAAGAGTTAATGATGATGATGACGATGGGCTTGATATTCTAACATGCCACATCTCTCCTGGCCACCACTACCCGTCTTCGTTGCCTCTGAGTAGGGCGACGCCTTTGGTGTTTACTGGTAGGGCGGGTAGACCCCGTCGAAGTGCCACTCGCGCCACTGCTCGCTCGACTCACGGTGGCGTTCGTAGGACTCTGCCAGGGAACACGAAGACAAAGATCAGCCACATAGCCGTGCAAGGCGGTTGGTGCAGGGGCTTTTAGCAAGCATACGGCACACGTGGCTGCGATTTTCAGCCAGCACCTCAGCTGGCCGCCTTTGTCTCCCCAGTGCTGATGTTTACACGCAGCACCAGGTAGGTACACTTTGAAGCCAGAGTCGACCTCGGGAAGGCCCAGGACCAATTCAGATAATCATCGCTGTCTGTTGTTGGCCATGACACACGAATCAAACTCAGCTTTGTCATCTGAAGTGTTCTGTACTCTTTGAGCCCGGAGAGCGCTCGCTGTGGGCGGCCTTCGCGTACCAGCACAGCTGTCATAGGCCTCGCGGGGCTACGCGGTGGGCAGCAAAATCCATTATTGTACCGTACCGCTATGCCCCCCCCACCCCCCCACATGCTGTGCTCCCCGCCCTTCACCAAAGCCTCACCGACCCGCTCGGGTCACCCGCCAAGGGCGTGGGTGGAGGCACCTCATCCAGCAGTGGATTGCCAGAGTGTCGTGTGGCTTGTACCTGTCTTCTCCTCCTCGACCCAGTTCTCCCAGCGAGCGAGCTGCTCCTCGCGGTGCTCGCTGCGCCTGCGGTCCGCGGTGAGCGTCACGCGCGCCTCCACTGTGGTGGTCGGTGCGGCGGCGGCGAGGGCGGGGAGCAGTGACGACATAGCAGTACGGTACAACAAGGGGCATTTTTCATTCCCTGTATTAGATTTTTTATTTTTTGGCCCCATTTCGGTGTTTATTTCGTAATTTTTTTGTCCGTTCAACATTAAATGTACCGGATTGAATTTTGATAATTTTCATTGCTGAGGTGATGAAATTTAATCATTCTAATACATTTAATTAGTATTCCATTGCATTTTTGTTATTCTTACAAAAAGTTCCATCAGTAAAACAATAATTTTTACAAAGACTTTTTTTTTCATTTAAGCAAAGCCGGCATTTTTGGCAGTAAAGGCACGGAACTGATATCACATTTTCGGATTATCTGAAATTGTGTATCTAGGGCCTAGATTTGAGGATTTTTCGGATTGATCCGGAAATTGGGAACACATCCTTCGTAGATACTTAGAAAATTGATTGAGAGATAATTTATCGAGTGATAAATAAATTATATTTAGATATCGATAATTGATAGATAACTGGTAGAAATATAGAGACATACAGATCGAGGAATAAATCATTATAATTAGTGGTAGAAAGATGACTTTTATAACAGTTACCAATACTTTGCCAATTACCAAATCATCAAAAATCTACCGAATCACATCAGATTTCCGAAGCTAATGAGATATGAGTTCAGATGGGTAACAACCATGTATAAAATAGGTCCTAACAGAGCCTGCTGAACTGGTATGAGGTGGGTAGCGAGGCAAAATCCATTGTTGTACTCGACTTCTATGTGCCACGCCTGTGCCCCCTGCCATTACCATCGTGGTAAAGAACTCTATGGTCAAATATTCCCCATGACCCCCCTACACGGAGTGGGGAGGCCCTAATGCAGCAGTGGGTTAATATTTGGGCTGTCTTTGCTTGTCAGGGAGCCAAGGGTGGGGGCTAGGGTTGCCACCTCTGAGGTACAATAAAAGGAGCATATCAAAGAAAGAAGAGTATCTCACAACACTGGGCGAGCAGAGAGCTACGTGTAAAAACGCATCGTATCGAGCGATGTGTTCTCATTATTATTCCGCAACCGACACAAACCAGGACGTTTAATTGTCCCGGGAAGACTTACAGATTTCCGAGGACATCAAGCCTCAAAAAGAGACCGACGATCCTGGAGGGGGGCGGGGGGGGGGGAAGACCAGGGCAGCCGGGGACCCTGGGCAGGGGCTTGGGTCGTGCGAGGCGAGGGGAGAGGGCGTCACGGACTCACTGAGTTGCTCGGCACGTGACTTTGGTGAGCGTCTGGCCCTGCCGGCCTTGTGCAGGAACCCCGCGGCCTGGTCCCCTCGCACGAACACTCCGCGTGCAGCCGGGGCGGCTGAGGTCAGGTTATTGGGGCGGAGATGTTTGGGGTGGGGGTCCCCGCAGGAGAGGGTGGGGGGGGGGGGAGTTTGCGAGGGGGGGAGAGCAAGGCAGCGAGGGGGGGGGGGGGTGTTGGCGTTGGCTTTCACCGGTGTCTGTAATGAATGCTTCGGACAAATATTGAAGTAGCGACACCGGCGGGGAAGTCTGAATTCTAGTTTGGAGGAAGCGATGCAGTCTTGTGTCGGACGTGTGTTAAAAATGCGAGCGAACGGTGCCGTAGCGCCCTTGGCATGTGGCCCTATCTTGCAGTGTGCATGCCGTTGAAGCCCACGCCGTGGAATGTCTCCACCCTTCCGCATCTGCCGCTGCGCCCTGGAATGCGACCCCTTGCCCTGAGTGAGGCCCTCCTGTTCTGACCGAGGTTTCTGCCCAAAAACGGTTCGCTAAAATCCAAATCCCTGGCAATCGCTGGGACCCGTCGAATATCTGCTCTCTGCAGACTTCACGTGCAACAATTACGCACAATGTTACACCGACTAAAAATGCCCGACTGGGCTTTTTTAAGCACGATGATACGAAGAATCAATGCAGCGTTACACACATAATGTGTACGGTCGAATCATCTTTAAAATGGATATTTAAAAAAAATGGTTCAGTAACGCTGTGTTTAAGGTTTGACCATCAAATTGCATCCTTAAATTTAAAAAAAAATTGCATTTGGTGTTCGTGTCATGCTTATGTGAAGCTATCATGAATGCGCTTTGTTTCACAGACGTTTTATGCCGTAGCTTTGCAGTGGGGGGGGGATGCTTGCTGTGTGTCCTTCCAATTGAGTACTGTAATTTGGCAAACGTTGACTGTGACGCCGGCACACATGATCTGCTCTTTCGAAAAACGTCGTGGGATCTTTGACGTCCACTGCGATGTGCACGGAGCGTATTCGTCTCGGTTAATACACGCACAGTGTTAATACGCGCGCAACATTAACCATGGCAGCCGTGTGTCTCGAACCGCGAAACCTCTGTAAGAAGCAAAAAACGCTCTTGGTCAATGAGGTCACGTGTTCAGGCCACAGTGGCTTGGACAATAGTTTTTTTATTTCAAATGTTACCACCTACCACTTCCCTTCCCCGTGTCACCTCCATGACTCTATGTAGTACAGCCATGCACAAATTCCCACCGCAATCGGCGAGGGCTGAGATTTGTTGTTTTAGGCTCCGAAATTGATTTTGGTTCATTCCCACCACCTTTATTGGCGTCAGCGTGGTTGGCATCGGGGCCGCCTGCTGTTGCAAGGAATGAAATTGGGGCCGACCCTCTGTCCAACTCTCCCCCCCCGCCACCGCCTCCTCCACAACGCCGGCAGCCCGGCGCCTGGGGCCCCTTCCGTGGCCCCGTGGGGCTCCGGCGCATTAGCACACCGGCGTCCTCGACGGTTAACGCCGTTGCCTCCCCGTGTGTTTATCGCCGCGCGCGTCTCCTACCGGCGTCGGCTTGACGCCCGGGCGACACAGAAGCGCTCTTCACCTCGCAGGGACCTGGAGTGTGCGTTGCGGGTGGCGTAGGGCGGACAAAACGGAGCATTGAGACCGTTGCTGGTTAGCGGGGAAGAAAATATTGCTGGTATGTTGACATAACAGGCTTCAATGAAGGGGGGGATGGGGAGAGATTATGGCGTGGCTGTGAAACAGTTGCATGTCCTCATCGCGGATTCGCGACAGGGGTTGTGGAACTTGATGCGCGGTATGTGGATGATGTCATGCTGAGGTGTGTTTTCACATTTTCTGTCTATGTCGACTGCAAAATTCGAATTTGTTATCATGATCATCATCATCAGCAGCAGGGACATTGTCGTCATCACCAGAGGAATACGCAATATCATGATCGCCGTCGTCATCAGTAACGTTGATATCATCACGACTGCCATCATCGGCATCTTTATCAGCAGCAACAAATTATCGTCACCATCAGCAGCTATAGATTATTTAACAACACACAAAGGGCTGCTGCTCACAAGCTATAGCAATGTACATTTTGAGTAATACCGCTGTGCGTGTTGTTAAATGTACAAGTAGCCAGTAGTGGATTTAAAAATACATATTGATTGTAGAAATATGTATAAATTAATAATAGAGGATTTTTTGCGGTTAGATCGCGTAAATATACAAATGTGGCGTGAGACTCACCACCACCCGCCAACTAGTAAGGGTTGTCACGTAAACAGAACGTGGCCAATTCGTCACCAGTACAGCACTAACCGGTGTGTTGGTGAGCCAAGCCACAACATTTACAATCTTCATCATGAAGCAGGTTGTAATTACTGGCAAAACGTCGTGGATGATATTGGTCGCGAAAGCCTACGTGTTAAACGACATCAATTCACCTCGTGAGAGGCGTTTGGGAGTGACGGAGAAAACCGGCTTAACCGAAAGACGTCGTAACCACAAAACCGATTCAGAGTGCAGAACTTAAACGATGCGGAGATGAAGCAAGTAAAAACGTAAAGAGATACCAAAAACACCAGTCCCAGTGTAGACGGGAACAATACAACGTCAAGGCAAACGAAAATACAAAATCAAATTGGTACGTGTACATATACACGGTCTGAAGCGAAGATGGTATACGTCAGCGGTTTTTAACCTGGGATGCGCTCATCCCCTCGCGGCTGCGTGATGCCCTTTCTGGGGATGCGAGACGTGGCCAGATTTTTTTTTCGAAGGTAAATAATCGAAAAGGAAAATTTAGGGCGGGCAAATTTGGACTTAAAACTTGCGTGACTGCAGGAATTCATATTCTTGGTTCTTTCGGTAAAGTGACGTAGATAGAAAATAAAAAAATAAAAATACAAAATAAAATCAATTGAAAATAATTAAAGCAAAAAACCCACGACGTTTCGATGGCAACACAAGAAGACCGCTTGTGTTGCGATCGAAACGTCGTGGGTTCTTTGCTTTTATTATTTTCAATTTATTATTATTATTTTAAATTTAAATTGTATTATTTTTTTACTTTCTATCTACGTGACTTTACCGAAAGAACCAAGAATATTTAGGACGGGCACGTGAGTACAACTACTTTGTTTCAGCAAACCCTATGTATTTATTGACATTATTTTTTTTTACGATTGAGAACCAAAGGGGTGGAAGCTTCCAGTAAAGGTTAAGAACCACTGGTCGACGTGGATCGTAACAGTCGTAGATATTTCTCCGCTTGCTAGTAATGAAATAACAAATGTAAGGATCGTGCTGGCAGGGTTATGAAGGCACAGCGAAAATAAAACCGCTCACAAACGTGCACCAATGATGCCACTTCGCTATAACAAAAATACGGAGGAGCCAGACGTTTCAGGCAATGACCCTTCAAGACTGACTTATAGTTGGAGATCACAGTTTTATACCAGAGGGGGGGGGGGCGCTGATAAAACGGTGGGACTTTAAGAAAGTCGGCAAGATACTTTGAATTGACAATTGGGCAGTTTCTCTATTCACGGTCATTGGCTATCAACTACGAGTCCGTCAATCTCTCTGCTGCCTCTCTCTGCTCTGAATAAGGACCATTGCCCGAAACGTCAACCTGTTTCTACATGATCTCCAATGACGCGTGCGCGGTGTTGTGTGTTTCCCCTCTTTACCTGTGCCGAGGATCACCAGGCCAGCCGCAGTGAGGACAGCACAAAGCCACGCCATGCGATCCATGCTGCTGCTGTTCTCGAGTGCTGAGCGGGGGCTCCCTGGGTGCCCCCCCCCCCATTCCATAGCGAGGGGCAGGGCTGGGGGTGGCCAAAGGGGGCCAGGGCACGGGCAAGGGGAGGGTTGTGAGTGCGTCACAGGAGTTGTGGCGTTGCAGACGGAGGCGCCGTTCTTCACAGCCTCTGTTCTCTCTTTTTTTTACGATCACAGGAAACAAGATGCTCGGTGTAGTCGGCACTTTGCTTCGTTCATCATTTCGGTTTTTTTTTCAATGATTTGCTTTATGTGCCCCCCCCCTTTTTAAAAGGAAAGATTTCACTAAACATTTCACGCTCTGCTCTTCTCCTTCTTACCCCTTCCCTCTCTCTCTACCCCCCTCTCTCTACCCCCCTCTCTCTCTACCCCTTCTCTCTACCCCCCTCTCTCTACCCCCTCTCTACCCCCCCTCTCTCTCTCTCTACCCCCTCTCTCTACCCCCTCTCTCTTTACCCCCTCTCTCTACCCCCCCCTCTCTCTTTACCCCCTCTCTCTACCCCCCATCTCTCTACCCCCCTCTCTCTCTATACCCCCCTCTCTACCCCCTCTCTCTACCCCCCCTCTCTCTCTTTCTACCCCGTCTCTCTACCCCCCCTCTCTCTTTACCCCCTCTCTCTACCCCCCTCTCTCTACCCTCTCTCTCTACCCCCCCTCCCTCTCTCTCTCTACCCCCTCTCTCTACCCCCCTCTCTCTACCCTCTCTCTCTACCCCCTCCCTCTCTCTCTCTACCCTCTCTCTCTACCCCCTCTCTCTACCCCCCTCTCTCTCTATCTCTACCCCCTCTCTCTACCCCCTCTCTCTCTCTCTACCCCCTCTCTCTACCCCCCTCTCTCTCTCTACCCCCCTCTCTCCACCCCCCACCCCCCTCTCTCTACCCCCTCTCTCCCTACTCTATGTCTATGTTCCCCCTGTTTTCTATGTAATATTTGTTTTTTTAAAAATCACTACGACAAGTGCTGCATCTGCACCCAGCCCTTCTCGCTGTTCTCTCTTCCGTCGGTCGTCGCTTTGCGGCAGACGATCGGACCGGGCTGTCGCTTTTCGCTCCTTCCTTTCTTCTGGTCATGGCAATAGCTTTCTCTGCAGGTCGTTCAATTGAGGTCGAAAGCGTCCATGCATTATTTAGCTCTGGCCGTCTGTCCATCTGTCTGCAGCGGAGTCACGATAACTCTCGTGACTCCGCGAAAACTCTCGCTATCGTGACTCCACTACCGATGAATATTATTTTAAGAAAGGCAGTAAAAAAATTGGGTCAAAAGAGAAGAAAAAAAACAGCTTTCGCCCAAAACGTGGCGACAGAAAAAAACACCCAGCAGTAAATGGATCGAGCCCCTTCCGGCCAAGGCGAAGACAGCCACGCGCCAACCCGGCACGCCGCCTGACGTGATGACGCGCCACGTGACCCCTTGTGACGTCTCGCGTCGTGCGAAGACGTCGTGTCGACGTCGTACCGTGATGCATCTTGGCAATGTAGCTCCGCCGCCGTCCCTTCGCGACGCCGTCAACCCACGGCTCGCTTCTTGTTCCTCTTCCACATGGCGGTGCCCAAGGCCTTTCGTGCTCTTTAGGCGCCCGAACGGAAGACGTCTGCGTCCCTGTATCTTTTGCACCAAAGGCTCCTTTCCCACTGGTCAAGATTTTCCCGTTTGGTCTAATGTCTTGGCACGGTTGCCTACGTAGAGTGCGGATGAAGTTCAGCATACACACACACACAAACATTTCTCGTATCACCCTTGTGAGTGTTTATTCGGTGCAAAGAGATGCCATACGTTTTGCAGACGTATTTTTCAACTGGACGAGGATCACATTTTAATGAGAGGCAGATAACGGTAGGCTTGGAGTGCATTTAAAAAATAAAAACTGAACGATGTGAAAAGGCAACAGTGTGTCTAACTGGCCAAGTGGGTCAGCCGTGGAGCGAGTGGTTCGCGCTCGGAAGGTTGCGGGTTCAAATCCTGCTTGGGAATTGACTCAGCCTATCATCCGCCGAGGGTTTGTAAAATAGGTACCACTTTGTGGGGAAGTCAACAGTCTTCATATGTATAGACTCACCCCTACCATAGGCGTATTGAAAGTTCACCACCTGCTCAGGGTTGTAGGCAGGAAATGAGCACTGCCTCAATGCATACTTGAACAATAAATTACTATTTTCTTAAATTACTAAAGGCAAACGTTTCAATTCGTGAGGATCAGAAATATGGACATTAACAATGGGGGGGGGGGGGGGAACAAGAAAGTGTGCAACGAAGCGTGGAGAGGCCATGGTTGAAATTACACTCAGATATGTAAATAAGGAGGAACACACGGTTTCGAGGACATACGTAAAGTAGAGACACCATGTCATACTCATTTTAAAAAAAGTTTTGCTGGCTGGCTTTCACGTCCGGAGGGATGGACGGACAAACAGTCACGTGCAAAGGATGTGCGCGTTGCCAATTGACGTTTAAAAAATGTAAGTGGGTCTTGGGTAGAACGCGTCGCTAGAATAGGACGATGACCGGTAGTCGAGATAAATGACGGAGTGGCAGCCCAAGTTGACGTCCAACGCGGAGATGGAGCAATCAAATCAGCTCGTGCGCAGGTGCTGGATGGATTGTTGCATTGGAAGACCCTAAGAAATGGTGATGGCTTTGGGAGGCTTTCATTCAGCAGTGGATTGATCACGGCCAATGATGAGAGGGGGGAAATTGACAAAGGATGAAACTTCAGTAGATGGTCCTCACCCATACCCTCTGATGGATTGCACGATCCCACGTGGCTGTACTTCACACCTCGGATGAACTGCAAATTAAATAGAAATGTGGTGCAGCTGTCACTTTCGAACATGTCAGTGTCTGTGAAACAGGGTGGCCCAAAAGTCAAGATAACGGGGCTATTAATTTATATTAACGCCGTCATTAAAACATGTTAATTGTATATTATTCTCTAAGTTAATATTTTATCTATCATTCTAAATATTTATTTTTCTTTCTTCTTCCTGTGGAGTCACGTGATATGTGTCGTTTACAAAACTCGACCAAGAACCCTGAATCAGTTGAGACCAAACAAAATTTGTGAACGTTCAGAGATTACACTTCGTAATCTTAGAAAAGGTCCTAAATAAAAATGTAAAAGAGAATGCATGCATGAATTCATGTCACTAAATGTCAATTAGCCCATTTGTTAAAATAAATTAAATATGGGGTTGAAACCTCAAGGCCTTTCCAGAGAGGCAAATACATTCCAATTTTCAATGTTATGCCAAAACGCACCATGATAGCCACGCTCCCCCAATGCTGCAGGAATGGGCCAATACTTGTGTAGTGGGCCCAAGACGAGGCAGACGGTTCGCTAGAGGCAACACGTTTGTTATAAACCAGGGAACATAACACGGAGGGGTAACGGCCCCTCACACCCAATATCCTGAGGTAGCCCCTCTCCGGACTAACGTGCCCTCGCTCTGCTTATAGCGATAACCCTACACTGGTTATATCTGAACCCGACCCTAGCCAGGCGTCCGGGTTCTGCCCGCTGGGCTCTTCGCTTGAGGTCTTCAGGGTAGCTGTTCAGGTCTTCAGGTCTTCAGGGTAGCTCTTCAGGTCTTCAGGGTAGCTCTTCAGGTCTTCAGGTCTTCAGGGTAGCTCTTCAGGTCTTCAGGGTAGCTGTTCAGGTCTTCAGGTCTTCAGGGTAGCTCTTCAGGTCTTCAGGGTAGCTCTTCAGGTCTGCAGGTCTTCAGGGTAGCTCTTCAGGTCTTCAGGTCTTCAGGGTAGCTCTTCAGGTCTTCAGGGTAGCTGTTCAGGTCTACAGGTCTTCAGGGTAGCTCTTCAGGTCTTCAGGGTAGCTCTTCAGGTCTGCAGATCTTCAGGGTAGCTCTTCAGGTCTTCAGGGTAGCTGTTCAGGTCTTCAGGGTAGCTGTTCAGGTCTTCAGATCTTCAGGGTAGCTCTTCAGGTCTTCATTTCTTCAGGTGGACGAGGACTGCCCGACCCGTTCAGGGGTCCGGCTTTTATCCCCGTTCCAGGGTCTCTCCGCCCCTAGCCACGCCTCCCTTCTGGAACTCTCTAGGGGGCCCTGGAAAACCCCCCCCCCCCCCCCCCCCCCCCTCTTGGGGTCTGGGGACCCTCGTGGCCCAACGGCCCGGCTCATCCTACCTAGCCAGTCTACCACCCCCTGTTGACACATGTCCGCTACTACAGGTAAAGATGAATGGGAATATACACAATGCCTCACCATGCTACTACATACTCTTTGGTTCTTTCGGTAAAGTCACGTAGGTAGAACCCCTTCGCTAGATCTCCTGCAGTGGGCATTGATTCTGAAGATCATTCATCAGGGCATTTAGGCACTCCCTCGCTCCCCCCTTCCCTTTTTCTGTTTTCCCTACAGGGGTACCACAGCTTAGGAACAAGACACAGGGGGTGGTAGAGATTATTGAAACACATGCGGGTTAAGACAGATTTCCATTGCACTGTAATCCGTACTGGTGTCAACTCCCTTTCATATTCTCTGTGCTGTGTATCTGATATCGTTTTGTTCATAAAATACTTTTTAAATAAATGAAATATCCCTGTGTCCTGTTTTTTTTGGCCACCCTCTATTTTGTAAACGATTCTTAAGCAGGACCTGCCGGGAAAAAAAAGTCTCCAACTTGATAAAGCTTTGCTAGATCGGCAGTGATATTTTGTGATACACATATTTTTCCGTGAAAATATGAATAAATGATATTCTTGCCAGTCAAATCGCACGTATCGTTGCTGTCCAGTACCGTATGTACGTATTCCTATTATATTATATTCCAGTGTCTTTCCAAGTGAACAGCTGCTTTAATGCTCAACATTCCTAGAACGAAGCTGCTGAAATCATCACCGTGATCCGTCATGATCACTCCACTGCTAGATGACAGCCTCCACAACCTGTCACCACCCCTCATGTTCCTGTGATGTAGCAATACATCTGGCACCAAGCTGATTTCATTGATCCATCTCCACGGCGGACGTGCCGTTGGTGCGATTTCTCCTTTGGCTGCCACTCCGACGCTCGTCTTGAACAGTG